CCCGCCCGTGCGTGTGGAGGAAAGAGGCCAACACGCCACCACAATTTTCGGGCGCGGAAAATAAAGAATCGGCCGCGCGTTCAAACTCAATAACACACGTACGACCAATACGACGGCGGCAAAGAGCCTTGCAATAACACAGGCAAAGTCCCTTCGTCATGCTCCAAACACCGGTCATTGCAAACGCTCAACCTCCGCCGTCGAGCGCTGCAGCAGGCACAGCGTCCCAGCAGGAGCAGCGGCGGGCGGCTCCAGGAGGCCGGCATGAGGGCCACTGGGGGCCGGCACCACCATGGCAACACTAGAAGAAGCGCTTGAAAGCAGATAGGCGCCTCCGCTCCTCTCAATGTTGCCAATTGTGCCCGCGGCGCCGGGCTGGGCTGAACGGGCTACATACTGTAGCTACATACAGGGCGTCATGTACGTAACCGCGTATGGCCCGCATGGCCAGCCGGACGGTCAGCCTGCCTCTGGCCGTCGCGAACCGAGCCCTGTTTGTTTACCAGAGGGGCCGCAGCAGCTGCAGCGCGCCCGCGCCTGGCCTGGCGGCAATGACGTCACCGGACCACGCCCCGCCCCGCCCGCAGCGCCACGGGCTTGACCGCGCGCAGTGTCAAGTAACAAGGCCATTCGGTACATTTCGGTGGGATTAGCGCCCCCCTACCCTTCCCCCCTTTTCTCTGCTGCTCAAAAGAGTTCGCAAGCAGAGCCGGGTGTAAGAGACGATGTGGTACTATACTCACGTCTGGGTGGTCTTTTACAGGGACGTAGACTTTCTCTGTTAACGTTGTCGGAGGACCCTGCGCTTCGGGCAGGACGAGCGGCTCTTTCTTCATTCCGTTTATTTGGAATAAATTCGCCCGAACCCTGGCAATTTCTGCAACAGAGGAGGAAAAGAGAACACGGATCAATAATTATGTATTTATTGAGGCACTTCAGCAGCAGCAACAGCGGCAGCAAGACGTCGTAACGCGAATCAAGTGCCTCACTGTCCCTGGCGTGTCGGCCGATGTCGGCACACTTGATGCGCAGGCGCAACCCCTGCTGCACCACAAGAGGAGCCGGTATGGCACGGCACGCGTCAGGGTATGAATGAATGGGCGGCAAGTGGTCCTCGGCCCCGCCCCGCCCCGCCCCGCCCGGCAACACAAAAGACCAGTGGCGTGGCGGGGCGCGGTGGGCCCGAACAGGTATACAGAGTAATCCCAGGTGAGCGCACAACAGCATAGCGCCAAAACAACACGCACGGCTGCACGCCCGACACGCCACTCAGGAGGTGGTGGGGGCGCCGCCGGTCCGTCTGGGGCTGCATTGGCGAAAAAGAAGAGCAGAAGCAGAAGCAGCAGCAGGTGGGGGTGCAGCAGCAAGCGCAGAAGCACGCGCGCGGGGCAGAAAGAGAGATAGGGGATAGATAAAAGGCTGACGGAGAGTTGGCAGCGCTACAGTTGGCGCGTGCCGCCGTATCAATGACAGCCCGGGGAGGGGACCGGGGAGGGGGCACCACTTATCAGCAGGACTCACCTCCCTCCCCCACTCCGGCCCCCGCCTCGCCCCTATACTCAATCAGCTGACGGCTCCGAGGGGAGGGAGGGAGGGAGGGGGGCCCGGCGGCGGCAAGCGCGAGCCGCACGCACGCTGCTGGAACAGGCGGCGCCAAGCGCAGCGCACTATCAACGAAAACCGCGCACGGACTGGAGGAGTACGCAAAGGAAACATCCGGCGCGGGGCGGGGCGGGGCGCCCGCTAGTCTTCCGAACGGGTACATGCGACACACGGGCGCCCAGCTTTTACCTCGCTGATCAGCATACAAGGCCCTCCTGCTGCAGCCGCCCGAGCCGCCCGGACCGGGCTGGCGGGCAGGCCAGGCAGGCAGCCACGACTGTTGTGCGTCGCGGTGTGGAACGCAGTACAATTGGATCCCCCCGCCCAGCCCCGCCACACCACGCTACGCCCTTTGATCGAGCCGACTTGGGTTTGCCTCTGCACTGCTCCGCACACACATACATGCGCACCGCACACAGCACACACTGCATACACAGATCCGGGGGGTGGGGGAGAGGGGGCCCGTGTAGTACCTGCACTGGAACGACAACAACACAAACCCGCGGAACAGGGCGCGCGCAAATGAAACAAAATAAAAACATACACGAAAATAAAATAAACACGACAGCCTTTACCCTGGAAGGGCCTACTGGCTCTGATGCAGTGACCTCCATTCCGCTCTCTGCCGGCACAGAAAGCTGCTAAAATCGACCGTGGTCGAATCAGATTCCTCCTGGTCTCTGGCTGGAGAGGGAGAGGTCTGGCCTGCAGCCTGGTGGGGCGGGGCGGGGCCGCTGGTCACACGGCTGGGCGGAGCCGCGAGGCGGAGGAGAGCATCCTTGGCCGACATCGCCTGCTGCACCACGGCGCTGCACCGCGCTGCACAACAGAGCCTGCCTGACCATCTGGTGCAAGTCTCCCTCTCCGCGGATTCGGTTGTCCGCCTCTTGGAGCAGCCGGCGCGGCTGGAGCCGCTGCTGCGAAGGCTGCGCGGGCACGGGCCCATGGCCGCGGCTGATCCTGTATCCATCGCCGTCGTGGATTTTCCCCCTCCTCCTCCACCTCACCTATCCTCCTCCTGCTTCTCCATCTCTCCCCTCTCCTCATCCTCCTCCTGCTGCTCGACATCGACATCGTTGCCGTGCCGAGGCGCAGCCGGTAATGACAGCGCAGCGCGGAGCTCGGAGACGGACCGTTGAAATAAAGGAATTATCAAACGGGCACCTCGTCAATCGGCGCGCCACACGACACGACAACCCAAACCCTGCAATTTGCGCCGCACCGTCGAGACAGCAACAGGAACACTAACTCGAGCAACAAGGTTGCGAGAGGATGAGGATGAAGAGGCGTGTGAGTAAGTGCGGCTTAGAGTCAGAGTTTGCGCGCGGAGGCGAAGCGAAATCTAGAAATGCTCCGCCACTGTTTTGGCCCGCGGCCCTGCCTGCGGCGGCGCCTGGTTGCAGCGACCGTGTCCACATGAACTAAACCGCATCACAGATGAGCCCCCACAGGAGGCCGCCCAACAGACCGCTGTTACACTAACCGCGGATCAGAGCTCTCGCGCAGTCGACATGTTCAGACACCACGACAGTGGCAAGAGTGCACCTCAGGTGAGGTGGTGCGGCCTGCGGTGCCGGCCCGGTGCAGGCCACCATTGCAACTTGCAGGCGCCTTCAGCTGCCCGAGCGGACTCACACACGGTGTGATGCGGCCGCAGGATGGCGCGGCGCCGGTCGCGTATGAGAGCGGCGCTGTACAGCACTGACCCAAATCATGTCGTGTCGGCCCGCGGGGCGCCGGAAGCGCGGTGCGGGTGACGCATGGCCAGCTGCTGCACCTGCAGACGCAAACCCACCGGCAGATGCGCAAGCTTGATGCAGATCATGCCAAAGCTGTATCGCCCGCCGCACCGCGGGCTGCATCTCGCTCCGCTTCTAATCAAACGACTTCCGGTGAACCCCGCCAAACCCCGCGGACCCCCCTTCCCCCCACCACCGACTCGAGCACCACCGAGCAGGTGAAACTAGGTTTCGCAGAAAACGAGCGAGTTAAATATACGGCAGGGAGTAGTTGAGACCGCAACGATATCCTCGCTGCACTACTGTACAGTAGTACGTACCGGGCGCACTGATTGTCGTTTGGATGCATCATGATAACAACTGCTGTGCGGCCCCCACACGTCGGGTGTCGAGGTGGGCGCCGCTAGGATCTCCAAGGAGATGCAGAGAGAGATAGAGGCGGAGGAGGGAGGACCAGGAGGAATGGGGAGGACGAGGAGGGAGAAGAGGACGAGGAGGAAGGAGGAATTTAGAATTTAGAATTTAGAATTTTATTTACGACTAATACAAAAGGGCCTAGTGGCCCCACTGCCGTATCAGCCGGCTCCCATCAATGG